TTATGATAGAACGACGAGATTTAAATAGAAGATTAACACACACCACATTTAAAAGCGAATGTGCCAGGCCAGTTGGGTTTCACTAGGCTTATTTTCAAAATTAGTTAGTTGGTGCCTTAGCACAGAACGGATATGGTGTTATAGGCTCTGTCCCCGTTGAATGTCAGAAAAAAAATATGGAGAAGCCGAAAAAGAATTGTAAGCTTCCTAAAAGCAGGTGAACATTAACTCTGGGTATATGGGATGTAATGACTATAATGTCTTTAGAATGAAGTTGCGTGCTAAGGTACAGGGTCAAGGATGCCAATTAGAAATTGCCTATTGTACATTTTCCCCCTTCCTCTGTATTTCTCCACCCCCACCATAGCAGCATGCTGTCACCAATCCATTCCCTTTTCACGACTGCCTATCATTCCAGATGCTGAAAGCAATTTTTTTACACCCCTTCCTCTCCTGAGCTACTCAGTTTCATTAAAGTTCAAAATGAAATGGTTTTATTTGGGGTTTGCATCCCATTGCTTTTTTATAGAAAATGCAGTTGCATATTATGCGACCTTGCTATTGCCTTATGTTGTAGAATCTTAATTCCTTCTCCCCCAAACTAAGACTGTTCTAGAGATTTCTGAACAATATAAAGTACTTGGTAACAAACCTTGATGACGTATCTTTAGACATTTATTGTGGCGATCTTGATCTACCTTGGAAGAAAATTACAAAGCATCCTTTTACAAATGACTTCCTAGATAACTTCCTGGTTTTTCCCAGTCAGGGTCAGATCAACAAAGCCATGTTTTTACTACGTGATGGATTTCCTTGCAGTCCTTGGGCTCTCTCTATATTGTGACATCGGCTGGTCCTTATTTAATAATCATCTATCATCGCCATGATAACTGAATCTCCAAATATCACTGCCAGTATTTGCAGTCTCTAAGGGGTGTAATCATGGGTGCTGAAGAAGAAGGAAGCGTGAAATCCGATTTAAGGGGAACTGAAGATGCAGTTTCATCAGTACCATCTACCATGTTTTCATCTTGCATCTCAAATTTAGATGCCACCTTCCTCCCAGAATGACTTCTTCCAGGGGTGGTTGGTCAACGCCGTTTTGTTAGCATTTTTTGTTCCTAGTCCTATATGTTATGTGGAAAATAATAATTTTTTTGCTGACTATTTTTGCTTGTAGAAGGTTAAAAAACTTTTTTTTTGAAAAAAAAAAAGATAGTGTTATCCTTCCTAGCCTACACTGACCACACACTTGCCATTCTCCTGCCTTGGCTGTCTGAGGATCAGGATGAGAGGCACATCCATTATAATATAATTGAATAAAGATTTCATATATAAAATGTGTAGCGTGATGTTTTGAAATATGCATGCATCTGGGGACGGCTCAACTGAGTTAAGTAATGCACTACCCCACAGATGTTTCTATGTATGTTGGGAGCACTTCAAATCTATTTTTAGTGATTTTTTTTTCAAAAATTTCTGTGTGCTGTTATAAGCTATAGTCCCTTTGTTCAATGCATAGCTCTGGAGCATGTTTATCCAAAATAAACTTTTACCCTTTGAACACATTCCCCGTCTTCCTTAGCTCCTACTTCCATCCCCAACCCCTGTACCATGTCGTCCTCTTTGGGGTTCAGCATTTCAGACCGGACATCTGAGAGGGTTCTGCCTGTGCCTGGCCTGCTTCCCTCCCCACATGGTTCTTGGGTTTCATCCATGCTGTTGCAAAGGTCAGAGTTTCTTCCGCTTCAAGGCTGATAGCATTGCAGCTTTTATTTACACCCCATTGTCTTTATCCACACATCTGTTGGCTGAAACTTAAGTTGATTCTGTCTCTGGGACCTTGTGACAAATGCCGCAGTGAACATATACTTATAGATACCTCACCAGCAGGGTAATTTTATTTTAATTTTGTAATTTGCACCCAGGATGGGATTGCTGGGTTCTGAACTGACTGTGCCAATTTACACTCCCACCAATGGCCTTCAACGCCTCCCACTTCCCCACATCCTTGCCAGTGCACTATCGTTTGATAGTAGCATTCTAGAAGCAGTGACATCATGTCTCAATGTGCCTTAATCTGTATTTCTCTGGTAGCTAGTAAAAGGTGAGCCTTTTTCATATATCTGTTGACTATCTGTGTGTTATCTCTTGAGACACCTCCTTGATCTCTTCTGCCTGTTATTTATTTGGATTCCTTGTTTTCCTGCTGTTGAGTTGCTTGAGCTCCCTATATGCTTCGAGTACTAACTACTTGCATGGCATGTAGCCTACAGATACTTCCTCCCATCCCTTTGTTGCTGTTATTGCTTTTCTGCTGATTGGCTCTTTGGATGTGTGAATATTTAGCTTGTTGTCTTTTCCCCTGGTTCTTTTTCGTGCCTGTGTTTCAGGCCATAAAACAGTCATACCCATACCCATGTGCACATGACCAGCACTAACTAGGCTAAGTGGGTTATGTTGGGTATGGAGAGAAGAGGATAAGGTATAAGGAGGGAAATGTGGAGTGGTGGTTTGGGCGAAACTGAGGGATAGTGGGAGTGAATCTGATCAGAACACGTCTAGATATACGAAATTCTCCAAGGATAGATACATAATAAAAATAAAAAATCATGACTTATTCCAAAGTCAGGGAGATGTGGTTCTGTTTCCCTCCAGTACTTTTACAGCTTCGGGTCCTACGCTTAGGAATTTAATCCACTTAGCATTTCTGTATGCAACGAAATAGGCTCAATTTCATCTTCCTGCACCTAGATGCCCAATTGCCCCAGCATCATATTTTAAAGAAGCAATCTTCTCACAATGTGTATTTTTGGCATGTTTGTTGAGGATCAATTGACTGTTAAAAGTGTTAGTTTATTTCGGGGCTTTCTAGTATGTTCCATTGGCTTAAATGTCTGTTTTTATGGCAGCCCCATGCTGTGTTGATTGCTATAGCTTTGTATATTTTGAAGTTAGGGAACCTGATGCTTCCAATAGCTTTATTCTTCTTAATGTAGGGTTTTTTCCCCCTACTACATCATAAATCTTAAGCTTTTTTTTTCTATTTTGGTGGAAACATGATAATTTTGATAGGAATTTTTATTGAATCTGTAGATTACCTTGGGCGATATGTGCATTCTAATAACATGAGTCTATGGACATGAAAAATCTGATGCTTCCCTTCAGTTTCTTTTGCTATTTTGTAGGTTTCATTGCACAAGTCTTTATATATACCTATACACATATCTATAAAACATGTTTCCTCGGTCCCTTATTAATGAGATTAGTTTTGTGGTTTCTTCTTTAGATAACCTGTTACTAGCATTCATAGGGCGTGTGAGCCTAAGTGTCTAGCAGCAGTTCCCAAATGTGAACGGCATGAGACCAGAGTGTGTAGAAGAATCAGAGACATATACTAAGGCTGACTTTCCGCTATCCGTAGAATCTTGATATTTGCCAGTGTATGTCTCCTTTCCCCTTCCATATGTCAGGAGGCCAAGACTCTCCTTTGTGAAGCTGTCACCATCCATCGGAGGCTCCAAATTGATGGCAAAGTGAGAAAGCCAAATGATATTTTGGTGGAAATGCCCTTTCTTGGGGTTCCAAGTGCTCTATTGATGCCTTTAATGATTAAAATCAATACCCTGGCATGGTAGTACAGTCCTATGACCCTAAAGCTGAAGATTTCAAGGACAGCATGGGTTACATAGAGAACTCCAGACCAGTCTTGGATATACAGTGAGACACCTTGTCTCAAAACCAAATCAACAAATCAAAATAATGCATTGCAGTTGAAATACGGATCCACTGCGTTTCAACTATGCACCATGATTCTTGCTCGACGGACTTACCTGTGTCCCTTGATTTAGGTAAAGCATGGTTAGTGAATCCTTAATTCTTTCTATTGCACTGTATTGGAGAGTCCTACACTTCTGCCAGTTGTAACAAAGTTCAGTTTAGAAGTCATCTTCTTGGTTCCACGGGATAAATTTTAGCTTTGTGATCTTTATTTTCTTTACTTCTTTTTTGAGGGGGAAGTAGATTTGTATACTGTCATGTCATGATGAATCCATTGTCTTTCATGGTATCTTTCCTTAATGTCATTAAATACATGCAAGTTAAGGTGGGATGGCATTTGGCTTGCTAAGCTCTTAAATCACAAAGCGTGGCATCTTCATCACCTGCTGAAGAAGGTAGAGAGAGCTATGGCGCCTAAGTACACCTGACATCAAAGCCTTTCTGATGTGTAAAGCTTACCACTGTCTTATAAAAGGGACGACTGGGCTCGTTGTGTTAACCCATCTTTCCCTAAGTGAGCTCCAGCTGATTTGAAAATGGGACTGGGCACAAAGACCATGGTCCGCTGCCATGCCAGCCTATACCGTGCTACTGTCTCAGAAGTAACATCTATTAAAGATATAAAAAAGAATTAGCTTGAGCTCATGGACCATTGCCAATAAAAACACAGACTGTTATTCCATTTTCAAGCTAGGCTCCCCTGTCCTCTTGGTAACAGAATCACAAATTCCAGCGTTTGGTATGCCATTGAGAAACCTGGGGAAAGGCAGGGAAGAGAAGGGGGTTGAATATTAAATTATATATATATATATATATATATATATATATGATTTACGTCTCAGTACCTGATAGGTTGTAAAGGAAGTAAATGGAAGATATTTGGCTCTGTTTCTATTCACTGAAGATAAGGGTGGGGAATGCCGGTGAAAGGGTAAGTAGAGAGCATTCATATGGTGATAATGGCCAAATAAAGCCAAGGAATCAGAGTTCAGAGCTGGGAGTCACACCCCCATCTCCCTGGTCATTACACCCATCAGGGAATGAGAAAGTTCATTTTGGCTTTCAAGCTAGAGTTGTCACGCAAGAAGAATACGGTAATGTCGTGTCTTCTCATCCCTTTCTTTTGGGGCTAAGCATTTGAGTTTTCTGCTGTTTGTTATTTCAAAGGCATCTATATGCTAATCCATTTTATGCTAATTATTTTCATGGTTGCCCCTCAGGTTATGCTTCGCATCACCCACCAGGGAGGATCATCTCTCATGAAAACTTTCAAATTTGATTTTGAAAATTTATTCAGAAAAATTTAAGCCACGCTCTTTTTTTCCCCAACACAAGAAATAATATGCTCTGGAGAACCCGCTAATTCACAGAAAATGGACTGGGATAACATTCGGGTTCTCATCCTACCACAGTCCCCTTGAGAAGGACGGCCAGGTACACAAAGCATTTAACATTCTGACATTGAGGTAATGGAAGTATGATTAAAATAGAAATCTAATAAGATGCTTTGAGAAACCACTAAATTACTCTGTGTGGTCCAGGAAGGAGGAAAGGGCTGGTTTTATCTCTCTGCCATGCCTGGGATGTGTTACTGTTTCTCTTGTTATAGTATGGTGTTTTAATTGTGTGCCATCTTTTTTTTTTAGCATTATTTCTAAATAGTTAATTGTAATAATGTTGATGCCTGCATTTGAGACTGTGCACACAGGAAGGACTAGGAAAAGTAGAAATAAATAAATAAATAAATAAATAAATAAAAGCAGGACAAAGGCTCCTGCAATAAGCTAACTTGATGTTTCTTCCAGTACTTTTATGATGGAGATTTTTCTCTGTGAAATTGTCATTTGTTTTAAGAGCAAATTGCTATTTGAAAAAGAAATTATTCAATTAGCCTGTCTTTATAACATTTTTCAGGACGTTCCTCCTTTGAAGATTAATAGGCTTGATACATAATTCCTCGACAAAACGTATCGAATGTAGACAATTTGGGATAGTGCTTTACATTCCTTCCTGGGTGGAAATTGGACTCGTTTTGTTTCCAAGCACTTTGGGAGGACCAGAATGTTCTAGTACACTCTCCACATTGTTCCTAGTCTTGTTCTGTACTGGAGAAAAGCAATGAGCCTGAAATACTACAGGGAAGAGGGGGTAGCCATCCTGCAGATTCAAGTTCATACTGTGATCAGCCTCTTCTTCATCTGTTTCTCTCTGCACCTTCCAGCAGCTGTGCCTGAACGCCTTTCTGTATTTTACCTGCTCCTACTCTGAGTCCTTACTGGTAACAGCGTTTTGCCCAAACTGCAACCCATCTGTTGGAATATCTTCTACTGAATGGCTTATTTTAATGGCCCTTGAGTTCCAAGACACCTTTGTTCAGTAGGAACGTGTCTTTTCAGGCTTTGGGGAACAAAGGTTCTAGAAAGGGACCTGATACCTTAAGGAAGCTCTCTTCAAATGGAGTACAGAGAGAGGAAACCAACAAAAGGCAGGTGAAGAAAGCTACAGGAACATTTGCCAGACAGCCAAGCAATATTCCCACATTTTTAGCCATAATCTCTTTAAACAAGATGAACCATTGCTGGGGCTATGCTAGTAAATCAGCTGTAACAAATGTTTCTCCAGCAATGATAAAATAGTATTCTGTTGAGATCTGACAATGTATAATGCATTTTGCTCCAGTCAAAGACCTGTATTATTTAATGTGGTAAACTCAGGTGACCCGTCATTGTTATCATTTTACTCCACCTACTTACCCATGACGATCACAAAATAGCTGCACATTTCCCCTTGAAAGTTGGGACTCAAGAATGATTTATTAAACTACCACAGTAGCCCGAATACAGCTCAAGTGAATAAGTACTTTCTTCTCATTGCCTTGCTTTTTTTCAGTGAATAACTCAAACATAACCCAAATAAGAACAATCTGTGTGTCATTAGGCACCAGCATTTAGCAGCTGCTGCTTCTGAAGCATGAACCACACACCCTGATTAAGAAGGCTGCTAGGAGTGTATGTACTCCTTGTGAGCTGAGTTCCACAAGCACAGGAAAGAGAGAGAGCTACACAGTTTGTCTACAATTGCCGGAGTTGGGGTAAAGTTTCAGAGGCCCCGGCTTTCACTCCCTGAGAGCAGTAAAGTTGGCTCATCCCACTCCTCAGGGTGTGCAGTGTGCAGTGTCACTGGAGACTAGCCTTCCTGGCTCTGCTGTGCCTGTGGAACAGAGTTTGAAGCTTCGAGCTTTGAAAGAAATAAACAAGCCTTGGTCTGAGTCCTAGCTTGAATACCCACACATGTTCAAATCTCCTGGCCTCCCTCAGTCCTATTCTTGAGTTCAGTTTACTGAAATTATCTGTGAGAATTCAATAGGACTTGGACAATGTGTTTTTTGAATGCTCCCCACAGTAAATGCTCAACTAATAGACAATACTATTAAATATTATCTTCTGTTATCATTGCTATTTTCATATGAATGACTTGCTCTTTTGCTATTAATGATATTCACAGGTAAAAGACTTGGGCTTTTCTCTAGTAATATTAACAGTACAAGGAGATGAATACTAAACACTTTCTTTTGCAAGTAAAATGGTAAAAATATAGGAAGCGTCTTGGGTTAAACGTGATCTAGTGGAGGCCTATATCACAAAGGTCTAGTATGACTTATGAACTTTATTGAACATAAGGTGGAAATTTAAAAATGTCACCAAATTGTGTTGTTTCTCTCTAACCAATACCAAATATTCAGGTGATCCTGAAAGAAAGGCAATTACAAGCAAGAACTTCCTGCCCTGGCTGCCAAGCATCCAGATGTCCAACTAATGAGCTTGCTTCATCCCTTTGTGAAGGGCCCTTGACATTATGCAAAGCCGCCTTGCGATTGGCCCCCTTCGTTGCTGGTTGTGGTGGTCTGTGGATAACAGGGCTAGAGAACTAATGGATCAACATGAAGGCTGTCCATAGGAAAAGACGCCCTGCTGGTTGAAAGGCTCTAGTGAGCTGCCAAGATACCCCCGTGGGTCCAGAACATCTTAGGAGAGCCTGCAGACAGGTCTCAGGGCCATTAAAAAGTTTATCTCTGCTTCTAAATAAGAGTAAACAGGATTGGGTTCACTTCCCCACAGAAAGGGAAGTCAGATGCTAATTAAAACGTTGCAGAGCTGTAAAGGATCATGGCATTCTGTACTGAAAAGTCAGCTTCAACTTCTAATTGGATGCCCGCAAAAAAGGAAAGGCAGAAAAGGAAAAATTAAAAAAGATCCACAAATATATTCACCAACAAAGGTTCTTATTGTACACCAGTCTCGTTTTCCCTTTGTCTTGGGGAAGATTTTAATGACAGTCGAATCTTTAGTAGAATAGTCTCTTCAATGGAGATTGGTTGTGCTTTGTTCCATTTCACTCTCTCCCGTGGGTGTCCTGCTTCCCCGCAACCGCCCTCCAAATATATAGCGGCAGAAAGCTGGTGCTCGCATGCTGTTGCACATCCTGGCATTTCGTCTTAATCATTTCCCCGAAGTAAACATAGGTTTCCCTGTGCTTAGCATACAGTAGACGTGAACTAAATAGCAATTACCAGGAAATAGCCACAGTCGAGTTACACTGGTGCCTCCCTGTGCTGCCCTTCTATTTCATCAGCCTGCAGAGGGAAGATGGAGAGATTTCCCTTCAAATGGGCAAGACTTCGAATTTTTCACAGTCACAAGCCAGAGAACCAAGTCAGAGAGGTTTTCATTTGTAAGATTGCCTTTCTCTTATCTGCTGGTCGTGTCTCCCAGACTGTCTGTCCGTCTCTAGAAAGCAAAGTCAATAAAAATGATTAGAGTTGGCATCTCACGCCCATACACCCTTAAAGCATGAAGCAGTGGTGTGCGGGAAATATTTTTCTGACCTTTTCAAATTGCATCCAACTGTCTCGGGAATTTCTCAGGGACTCGAGGTAATAAGGTTCAATCCGTTTTACCATCTGCCTTCAAATTTAGTTCCTCCGGAGCTCCGACGCTGGAACTTATCTATTCCTTACATCCTGACCCTGGCGTCCAGTCTGTATAGAAATCCATGCATCTCATCTTTTTCCCACTCCATCTCAGTTTTTTATCTTTTTTACCACAATATGGAATCTACAACCATGTCAGTTTTCCACGTACTGCCCCCTTTCAAAACCCAAATGTTAACCTGAGACGAATTTGATTATGTGGTCCTTTGAGAAGCCCTTGTTGAATTTAATTAGCTTTTAAATTTCATTCTCTCTTAAATCTCAGGTTTTTACCTGTGTGATTTGTTGCCTCAGTGGGCTTTATAAAAAACTTTTTCAACTTAACTACACTGTGGGCACTCTAAAAAAAACACAAAGGAAGCAAACACGTGGGAGTTTCTTTTGTTCTGAATCGATTTTTGCTTTTCTTCCGTGAGTCCGAATGGAAAGGACAAGCTCTCTGGCAAGGAAGGGAATTATCCAAGTGTGACATGTTAAAAGGCTGCTGAGTGGTCCCATTCTTCACTCTTCTCCTTAAAGGAGAACAGAAGACAGAAGCTGGGGACAGATGTGGGGTTTTTTTTGGACCTCTTGAAAGCTCCTGGTGTCCAGAAGCCTTGACAAGAAGTCAAAGATCTTCGGAGGCTTTCAGACTCACCGCTTCTCAGACAGCATGTGCCTCTGGAGTTGTAGGACATTCCCGATCCAACAGCTCACTCTGTTCCGTCACCCCATCCCTTGTCCCTTCTTGCTTTCTGTAGAGAGTAGACGCTTGGCTAGAATGATCTGTGGCGCCCAGAGCCTCTTTCTGTCTTGGGAGGTGAGTCCATGGACCAACGGCCACCAGGAGGAGTTCAGCTTTTTCAAGTTGCCCATCTTAGAGTCTCTCCTTTCTTGTATAGTGGTTTGTTGAATTTGATGACTTTAGTCATGACTTTAGAAGATGAGTTTATGAAAATCTATGACTTCATAAAGGTGTGATGATTCCAGACAATCCTATTTAGAAAGCAGACTTCGGGGAAGGGGAGGAAGGGATCTGTCTTTATATTTCCAGCAGTGGGTCTTGTTCTTCAAAAACTAGACCACATGTATTTATACCAAAGTTCATCATCCAATTATTCATATTATGGCTTTCTTTTCCATTTAAAACAATGACTAATTTGGGGGAGAAGCATAAAATAAAAATGTTGTCTTCAGAGTGTGTTTAAGTGAAAGCTGCTATTTTGCCATTTGGAACTGAATTCATCTTAGTAGCGGCGTTCAATGTCTTTTGACAACCTGGACACGGTCAGCTGGCACTTCAGAAGAGATGACATGAAAAAGGAGGATGGCACCTTTCAAAATTCATATTCACCCACTATTTGAAGTAAGGCTAGTGTCTTATCACCAGTTGGAGAGTGAAGGTTTTCACATGTAGTCAAAGCAGGTTGATTTCTGGAGGGGAGCTAACGCACACCTGAAGAGTGTGAATGTAGGTGTGCATGCGTGTTTCTGTGTGTATAGGTGTGTGTAGCCATGTGGGAGGCATGCACACCACACTGAATTGGGGGAGGAAAAGCAGCAATGACACAGCTCAGAGAATCCTTTATCTCCCCATGGATGCTTCCCCTTCAATCACTGGAAACTTGGCTGTGTCTTATCTATGGGAACACAGAGTGCAGGTCACTCTACTGAGTCATGCCTCTGTCTCATTCCTAAGACATCATTCGTTTCTATCTTCAATCTTCAGGACCCATAAATAAAATGAAGTCACTAGGTACACTTGCCACTGAAACTGGGAAGTGTTTGGAATCGATCAGATTTAAAGCGGGGTGAATTTGTACTGTGTTCGTCTACTTGACTGGATGTCCTTAGGAATGCTGGGAAATAAAAGGAACTTTTAGAGGAAGAGGCACAAAGGGGAAAAGAAGCCTAAATAACAATGTCTACCCAGGGTAAAGGGGGCAGGAATGTGGAAAACAATTTGAAGCAAGAGTGTGCTCAGGCATTATCTATCTATCTGTCTATCAATCCATCCATCATCTAGCCATCCATCCATCCATCCATCCATCCATCCATTTATCCATCATCGATATCTATCTATCTATCTATCTATCTATCTATCTATCTATCTATCATCTATCTATCTATCGTGCACAACTGTTTCTATTTGAATAACGTTTGCCTATCAGGATATCTAGGAATATTGCATTCGTTCAAACATACAACTGAGAATTTGTTTTCTATTTGCCTCCAACATCTCTGTAACAAAAACAAACACTCTTTATTGCAAAGCCAGGCTTATTACTGTGCTGTCTGCTCAATGGAAATATCGACACTCAGGGATTCAATTTTCCTATTATGACAATGTCTAATATGCTCCACGATGTGGCTCAGGGACAGGGCTCCATTATTTATCAGGGTGAACTGGGGCTCTTTGGGTTGCCACGGCATCACTTAGGCTTATCAGCCAGGGTGGGCAAGTGCCCAGCACATTGTGTGTTCCCAGGCCTATCAGATGGAAACCTGATTCAAATTTAATCAGAGTGGCTGGATCTTGAAGGCTGCTGTCACCAACCCTCACTGCACACACATTCTCTTCCTAAAGAGAGTGCTTGGAAAATCCAGTCACCATTTCTCTGGAAACAAATACAGCCCTTCTAAAACAATGTCAGATCTACAGAGAAAGAGCCAGCATGGCTTTAAATGCAAATGTAGAATTTGAAAGTGTCTCTCTCCCTCGCTTGTTCCCTCCTTCTCTCTCCCCTTGGGTCTGGGGTCTCTTAAATATGCATGCAGTCTCAGTCCAGGGTTCAGGAAAGACTGTACACTTTGCACAAGATCCCCATTGACTGCCACTATCAACCTTCCTGGACACACACTCAAAATAATGGGAGCAAACAGGAATAAATCAACTCTCAAACTGCCTGTCACACCCAGCTCTTCCTCAGCCCTTTGCTTGCTGACAACACGGCTCAGCCTGTGGTTTCAGAGCGGCACACCTGCCCGTGTGCTGTGATCGGCTGGTAATCTCCTCTTGCTGTCAGGCTGCAGCAGTATTTATTTTGCCTTAATTGGAACCCCACTGTCACCCTGTGGGATCCTCCCCTTTGGCAAGGCAATATATCCCTATAGACCGAGAGCACTTCTGCCATGGTTGGGTGTAATATTATATTCAGAAATAGCAGCTTTGGAATCAGAATTTAACCAGAACCTAGGTTAATAGAGTTTCTTGGTGTTTCTACTTTGGGTTTGGTTTTGGTGATAGTATTAGGAACTCACGATTTTTTTGTTTCTCAATGTTTATCTTCGAGGTTGAAACAGCGCAGTGAAGGCTCAAGTTGATCATGTTGCCAGAGTTTCTCCTGCTTTAGCTCATTAATCCATTGCTTGGGTCAGAAACATGAGAATAGCGGTCATCATGCCCAGTTATCACCCACCTTAAACTAGGAAGCAATCCACACAGATATGGGGTCGGACCTCTGTGCAGAAATAGCTCTCCTAGGTGTACGCCTTTCCCCTCTCGCTTTCTACACGAGCCAACATGGCAAGATGGCTGCAAAGTCTTACTTTTATTACAATTAAATGAGTTCGAATTTGCAACTCGAGTCTGTTGCTCTTAACTTTGGGTGTCAAAACAAGGTTTGCTTCCTTGGTCTCCGCGGACGGCCCATTGTGGACGTTGGGTTTCAGCACAACTGCTTTTCTCTTGTGCTAATTTTATTTTCGTCATTAAAGTTCATGAAGACTTAGTCATCAGCCCTCTAATTTTCCAGGAAAAAAAAAATGTTGATGTATTGAACTGGCTACAGCAAACGAAGATCAATCTGACAGTGTAGGCTAATAGAGGGGAACAAAACACATCCATAATTAGGAGAGAAAGGACGTTCCTTGTTCCTTCCAGTTCATAATAGAAAGCCCCTTGCCAAAGTGTCTTGGAAAATAATGCATTCAGCCTGAGCCGAATTACCGCCTAGCACATTCTATTTGTCTGTAGCTTAAAAAGCAGCTGCGGTTTTTGTAAGAAGCGATGAATGTGGCATTCCTCCTTATAGGTAGAGGAGAAAGAGCACCCCTTGTTTTGTAATAAGGGGATCTTCAATTTGAAAGAGAGAGCGAGCCTGTTGTGTGAAGTAGGGTTGTTACAGCCACTGTATTCTCTCTCACCCACCAGGAGGCTAATAATGAAGGGGCCAGGGAAGGAGGCCAATACTACAAGGGTTATCTCACCACCTCAGATGCTGGATAAGTTGGAGGAGGCAGACTCGCTTCTGGATGACATTCAGAAAGACTGGAGCGATTATTTGGAAGAGAAACCCCTGCCTCTGTTTTCAAAGGTAAACAGTTTGTTTCATCTCTCAGTCACATGTTTCTGTACAAATATATGTCTCTATAAAGGTATCTATAAAGCCTGCCTGTAAAAATAACACACAATCTTTTCAGGTACGTGAATATTGTCGAGACCTGCTTGTCGAAAGGTCCCGTCCTTAGAATCCTGCCTTAGACAAAGGACGCACTCGGAGCCTCACCACACCTAAAAGCACGTTTTGAAGGATCTGCCAAGCTCACTTTTAATCATGTGAAAGAAATTACCCACACGGAGGCTGCAGAAAATGAGAAAGTAGAGTTCGTGCCGTGATTAATTCCAGCGAGTGCCAAGGGGCTAGTTGAGGAATGGCGTCATGAGGTGAATATCTGTAGCTTGTACTTAGGGTTTGGTTAGTGTGTAATCATTTTCTCTTTCAGGAGCGAATACGATCCTAAGTGTATTTCCCATCCAAGCAACACTCGGGGCGTTTGTGAGGATGCTGACAGATTTAATATCGGCCTCGTCCTTGCTGCTATTTATGATGACCAATGTTACATTTATAAATATGCAAAGATCAATTTAGGTGGCCAGGCTCTCTGAGCCCCATGTCTGTCCCCAGCCATCTGTCTCCATGTGCAGTGCTGTGCTGTGTGGCATGCCCAGTAATTTACGTCTCTGTGTATGTATGTATGTGTTCTTGTTCTTGTCTCTGCTCTGTTGTGAGTGTGCGTTGGGAGAATTAGACAAATGATAGGATCCCAAAAGATGAGACCCAAGACGTTCATTTGACTTTTGGGAAAAGTATATGTATTACAAAAAGTATCCCATCATTTACAAGGCATACCAAGAAGGAGGGCACCAATTGGGTAGGAGTTATCAGGTGATCGAACAACCAGGATTCAAATTGAACATCACTTTCAGTGTCAAATTAGTTTGAAGCCTCCTTCTCCTTGATGATGGCTGCTTTAACCCCTTGATGTTTATTTGTTAAAAACAAAAAATCCCTGACTTCATTCCCAGGACATTGCAGCTCTTCTTGGTTGCATTTTTCTAAAGATTAGATCCAAGAAAAGTACTAATTTACTATACCAAGACTGTCATTACTTTCATGATTATCCCCCACACACCAAATATGTCATTTCTTTGTGGGTCAAATTAATGTTTCATCAAGTAAGTGAACAAATAAATCATAGCATTTTTTTTCTTCTTTTAAGGCTAATTTTGGTAGGGAGCAGGGACAGGGACAGGCCAGGGTCTTTGTGAGTCCCAGGGAAAGAATGCAGCAAAGACCCCGTTGGTCTCCGTCTTTGTTTGCCCACACAAGCAAGTCCCAGGATCGCCATGCCAACCTTAAGCAATTTTGGCTCCCAGCAATCCTGTGCCCCTGAGTCTTTCAAACTACCCCCTCTATCCTGCTGCAGAGAGCCAAGGCAAAGGCGTGTAGAAAGAATGCATTAGCTGAGAGAATGCCAGGCTGTGTTCCCACTGATATATGTGTTTGGTGCCACAATTTAAATCACACTTGGGTCCAAGATTAGATGATCCCCTTTGTGGAGTGTGGGGGTTCCTGATGAAAGGGAAGGTATTAAAGTGGCAAAGAAAAGGGGTTGTTCTTCCGTGTGCTTCCAAAAAGGACAAGGCAGGGCTCTCTGGTACCTTCTGTAAGAGAACAAGAGGCCCAGTAGAGAAGATGAGTCAGCTGGTGGGTGTTGGAGAGTGGAGCCACCTGGGAGTGGAGAGTGGCAGAGAGATAGCCAGCTGGGGAAGGAGGTAGACCTCAAGCCCAGAGGTAGAGGTGGAGGCAGGTGAACAGCTGTGTTTATTTGAAGACGTATCATTTAACCCTCACCTAAAAACAAATTGGAGAGGCTTGGGAGTGCATTAATCTGGACCCAATTAGCATGTCTTTCTCCTTCCAAAAGTGCAACCTGAGATTAATGAACATCAACCAGAGTTTCAGAGGCGGCACGTAAATCATTTGCATGTTCGTGCATGATAATTGAATTTATGTACGCACTTCCTTTCATTTAACTCTTCCCAGGCTCCTTGCGATTCATAGAAACCAAGACTTCATTATAGTGATTTCTAGGTAGAAATAGCTTGAGTTGCATTTTACCCCTAAGGGAAAAAACTTAAGTGCTTAGTAGTCGAATTCCAACAGCACATTGGAATGCTGCTGCTTCTGGAGTTGGTAGATAGGCACCTCAGATATATTTTGAAAGGCTAGAACAATATGGAAAATTCAAACATCAAGCTTTCAGGGCTTTGGGTTCAGCCACGCGTAAGTCTCTTTATAATACCGGGAACAAAGCCACTTAAATGCAGCGCGAGAAATGTTCTTGGAGTTTGGATTTCTGTGACTTGGATCACTGAGCTACTTCAGCACCCAGCATTGTTTCTGGCTTAGTTGGAAACTTGTCTCCATAGAGAAGGGTGGGAATGCCCTCAACCTCTGTGAATGGCTACAGACAGGCAGGTAGCCCTTGTAGACCCTTGATGCTATGAGTTTGGTCCTTCCTTCTTTCCTTCCTTCCTTCCTTCCTTCCTTCCTTCCTTCCTTCCTTCCTTCCTT